ATTAAATACGAAAAGATACGAAAAACGACAGAGAAGTCACAGTCTAATTTTAGAACTTGAAAATTCAACACACATGCCTTTTAACTACAAGGATATGTATTTTGTGAATAACAGTAAAGGTAAGCTATATTTATCTTAAAAGAACAACTGAAACGTCATGAACATGAAATAAACAGAAAAACAGATGAAATTATTTTACTGAATAAAGAAGTTGAATTTTATACTGCAGCTAAAACACTTTCTGCTCTCTTTATATACCAAAATATAGTAACCCAGTAATATGTCGTGCGACACGTCATTTTCTTCCTTATTTTGGGCTCGTTGAGGGATGGAAAATAAGTTTTATTTTTGTGTTCAAATTTTCGAAAGTCTAGTTTGTGTTCAAAGTGCCATATTGTTGGTATTGTTTTTATTCACTAGTATATTAGATTCAGATCTTTTCTTAATATATTTATATGTTGTATGTTTTACTCTACACAATTATTGAAATCATGTTTTGTCTTGTCGCAATAATTAAATTGTTATGTTTTTTTCTCTCAAGAAAACAGTTTGATTAGTTTATAAATCATAGTATTAGTGTATTGTAGCCATTTCAGCTGCAGCATAACAACAATATATCAGATCAATTACTGAAAAATGTTATCTAGTTTCGTATTTTGGCACGAAATCTCTCCCTTCCTAAGTTTCTATAGGCCTCATATAAGGACATTGACCTAATATTGTATATGTGTAATTTCGGTTTGACTTACCTTAATGTTTACATGTATTGTTTATCAGTCATACTATGATGTGAGTAATCCGCTCTCATGATGCAATTCGACACTAAAAAGTCATACCATCAAATTTGTCAGATTGAACATTAATGACTATTCCACATCAGATTAATGGGGGCCAGTTGGCGAACACCCCCCCCCCCCCCCCCCCCCGGGCCGAAAATTAGGGTCCGAAATGTAATTTGTTACATTCGTTTTTTTTTTCATATTTATCGTATGAAGAACTGCATATTAGGCTTTCAGAGCCGGCTTACAGATGATTGCCTCAAATTTTGTACCATTAAACATGTATCCATGTACAGTAGGATATGCATGTTTGATAGTAGAAAAGGCGCGACAAGTGTTTATGGTCAACGCTTCATTAATTATAACACACATTTTATTATCACTTTCAATAAAGCACAAACAGTGGAACCTAGTCATTGTCTGTGAATGCTATTTCGACCTTTCCTGTGCCACTAAGTTCCCATCGTTTCAACCTTTGAGAACATATCCTGCGTTCACTTAACCGACATTGTCCGTACGATGGACGCGAAGCATGGCAAAAACACGTAATCTGTCATCGGTCATTACAAATCTTTGTTGACCTGCACCATGTCTTTAAACGTCGAAGGGCAGAAAAAGATCTCTCACATGAGCAAGAACCGACCGGCAACCAAAATCTCTTGATGGTCGCACTTGTTTGAGATACTTTTTCGCGGGAGATAAATAGTTGCAGAACAAAATGCTGGTTTACTTGCGATGGTAATCAGGCAGAGAGTTCGTAAGGTCGATTCCTTACGTAGTTGAAATAAAAGTACAGAAGCTGCACGTCAACATTAATTACTATTCGAAGAATGCAATCAGCATTACTTAATTCTTGATATGAAAATGCAAGGATGTTTTAAATAGCTACCCCTGCATGCCTAGCTTTCATCATTTTCTTTTTTTTTATTATTATTTTTTTTGCCAGAAAATCAGACGAGGCAATTGCCTCGTCTGCCTCAACAGTAGTTAAAGCCCTGGTTATAACTTGAGTCCATTCCCTTTTGCTAATTTTGCAAATATAATATGTTTTAACTAAACATTTATAGGAAATTAGAAGTTTTCGTTAACCGGAAACTATAATTGTGTTGTAGTAGTCGCAGTTCTACCGCCGTTCAGTAAGTTAAAATATGGAAGTATTATAGTGACATGTAATTCCATGGTTCTAAAAACAGATCGCTATGAATAAACGTAATTTCCTTGACTTAAGGAGATAGAAAGATTTTATCCTCCCAAAAAGGTAAATCTTTCCCGAGGGCATCTCTAGAGGGGAAAATAACTTTTCGTGGGTGAACAAATTTTCATATCTTCGTATTTAGTAGTACCTGGGTAATTAATGTTTTATTCCACTGCTGCTTTATTAATAAATGATTAGGATGATACAGTAGGGTTATTTTAGTGCATATATATTATTTGAGAGGTTACTTTGATGTAATAAAATAAAATATCCATTTCTCATATGGGTGTGTAGTGAAAAAAGATACGAGCAATAATCGAACGCATAATAATTTTGTACACCCATCATCTTTGGAGATAAAAATATTTTAAAGAATGTTGCTCTGGTCTAAAAGATTAGTGACCCTATCTTAAATACAGCTATGTTTGGTAGTATTCTTAAATGCCAAAATATGAAGTGATAAAACATGTATGTTTACTTCTAGGTATCATTTGATTTGATTTGTGTTGGATTGCTGTCTGATTAAAGTATTCGAAACTTTCTTATTATGCATATGCATTACATTAGATTAAAATTTTGAGGGTTTTATTTATTAGACTTATTATACTAGCACTTTGTCAGGGGTCAAACAGTGGCCTATCATAAATGTTCATTATTGCACTGAAAACGTATACACAATATCCAGCATCAAATTACTACGTTAATGATGATTTCCCTGAAATAGTACTATAAGTTCAAATAACTAATTATACATTTGATATAAATACAATTAGCTTGACGACATTGTTATGCACAATATTAGGCTACAATGTACACAGTCCTATTAGATCTCTAGCAGTATACCAAATGTATACATTTTATGTCAATATTTTACCCGTACTAAACATAAAAAACGATTCATTAAGTGTCCATAAATAAAACCATTTGAATTATATTTGTTTCATATTTTACATTATTTTTCTTGTAAATCCGAGTTTACATCAGATATGAGAAGTAATGTAATGTAGTCAATTTACATTGAACAATGAAAAATCATTTTATCTTTTCTCCTAGTCATGAAATTTTGATGATAAAAAATGTTGTAAAATTAAGCGTTTACAATTTGAATACGATACATACAACTGCGGATACATTTTTAAACTTTCTTTTACACTTTTGCCGTTGTCTTTGACAGGCTACTCGTATGGTAGAATGACAACTGTCATCTAATAATGGTAGATGAAAATCAGTTTAGATCCTGATGGTATATTCTCATAAATTCTGTGGAAAAAATCCACGAAATATTAAAGATTGATTTGATAAAAGCGTTAATTTAGATAACTGCCCTAGGAGACCGTTTTGTAAAAATACTGAAATCTGTAAATCTTATCGTGAAAGGTTAAGGCGGGTACACCTTTCACATTTAGGGGTGCTTTCGTGCTTTAGTTGTCCTTTTTTCTCCTTATAACATACGAACAAAAATTGATCTAGCATCACGCTAAAGATTCGATTATTTTCATATATTTGTAGGTAAAATGTTGATTTTCAAACACTATTAATACAACCTAATAGTAGTATATAGCTCAAGTTCCATACTTTTATAAGGCGACCAGACAATTTGATATTCTTAGTGGTGGTGGCAGGCTTTTTTTTTCGGATTGATCATTTATTTTCTTATTTTTCCCCGCATGTTTGTCTCTCATGACAAACCTTTTTTTTTATATATTTAAACCAAAAACAAGGTATTTTTCAATAACATACAATAACTAGAGAATTATTTCGAAACTCAATGTACTATTCATTTTCCCCCGTATTTTCAATGGAAACAAAGTATTTATGTTCACTTACTTCAAAATAAAGAATTGTTTAAATTATCTATTCACGAAATTCAAAATCAAACAATACTTTACAAAAAAAACCACCCCAATAAATGATGAGTGGTCGGTGTTTTATTGAACATTTTCAAAATTCGCCCTTACAACAATTAAGACAACAGTTGTTAGAAGTATAACGACATATGAATATATTTAGGATAATTAGGTTAAAGAAACCATTTTAATTTTGTCTTTGACACAACGTCCAATAAGGGTACGCAATGATGACATCTGAATGAAATTAACGGCATATGTTTAGAAATTTTGTTGCTATGTAGTTTATTTCGTATATTTGTAAGCTTGTAACGCATTAGTATGTACATAATATCACACTTGTTATTATCTATATAGTTAATATCATCTTTACATTACAGCATTATCAAGACGCCATACAGAAAACAAGTTGTTATTTTGCAATTCGCCGTACAATGCCCTGTAATTCGCCGTACTATAAACAATAGCTGTTCAGGTCCATAGTCTTTAGAAAACATCTTTTTGATAGGGAATGTCAGTTAAAATGAAGTCATATTATCATAATCTAAAGCGGGACATCGGAGGACGATTGACCTCGAAATTATTGTAACCAATTGCACAGTTTTGGAATTTAACACAGAATGTTGTCTTTGTTTGCTAATTGTTGGTATAAAACATTAAAGCGTTCCATAAGTGGTAACTTCATCTAAACGGTAAAAATGATTTAAATTAAAGGAATTCTTACCTTGTTTACTTCTTTTATGCTTTCCTCCGCTTCGTTGGTACCCAACTTCCGCTGGCGATGATACACAGTGAAATTGTGTTTCTTAATTTAATATTACATATTATATGTGTGTTGTTTTAAAGGGAAGGTACAATTTGAATCTAATTTTGTTATGCAAATTGATCGAAAATGAAACAATTGGATGGAACCATTATTGGTTACATTTTCAACATGATAAAAGATAGGTCTTAAAGGAAATGTAAATATTGGGCAGTCTTGATGATAAACGTTTACTGACAACAGAAGAGCACACGCATTGCCGTGCCCTTTTTCAGTAAGTAGATAAATACAAAAACGCTCCATTTGTGAGTACCGTTTTGAGTAAGGATTCTGCTCTAAACTTTATACTTAGCATCTGTGAGTTAAATGTTCAAGTTTAGTAAGTTTACTTGCACAATGTTTCATTATCTTTTTAGGTAATTCTTTAGAATACCAAAACAATGTAAGTATTATTAGAATACAGATACGTAATGGAATTGTCACTTTTAAGACTAGTAAGAAAGAAGCGGAAGATATCTAGCCGAGGTGACATTCAAAACTCAAAAATCGACGGTAACCTGACAATGTCATGGCAAAAAAAAAAAGAAACGAAAGACTACATAGAATGCTAAGACTTGTATTATTGAGAACGCCATTGGCCCTTTGTTTTCGTTGGGAAAGTTAGAAATCATGCAATTTTAATTTTGCTATTAAATCCTGACATTGTGGCATGTGACGATATTTTTGTGCATAGAAAATAAGTCAACACAAATTAACGTTCGCTTGTAACATTTTCTTGTAAAAAAAAGTTTTGGTAAAGGTTGTGTTTTTTTCCTATGTTTGTTCTCTTATTGTTTTGCATATTTTATTCCTTGCTTCACCACTCCACCTGGAGCAGAATATTCATGAAAATGGCCTACCCATCATAAAATTCTATACATACCAGTGTGTCTTAAAATCATTCTTAAAGCTACCTTATATTATGTCGATAATGAACGTTATGAACGAAAGGAGACTGTCTGGAATGAATGAGGATAAAAAGAAAGTCTATACCTAGGATTACACTTAGACTTACGATTACGATGACGAAAAACAAGGGGTCTTCTCAAAATTAAAAAAAAAGCAACAATAGAGATACCAAGTAAAACCAAATGATTGTTTTTGTTATGTAAATAAAACGTTTCGACGACACACTAATGCAGCGCAAATGGTCACAACAGATTTGAATTGCTGTATTGGATATGTCACCAAAAAAATCCCCATAACTTTGTATTTTTTTTTATTCTCCAATGGCGTGTTCAAACTTGACCTTATAGTGTGTAATAAGTCTATCTGTGATTTTTTAGACTTCATCTTCATATCCTGGGGTTTTCGAACAATCTATTGTCTTGTATAATGTTTATAATCTTTTTGTTATGTTCCAAACTTGTGTCTTACTTTATTTTAGTATAGCAAAATCAACAAAAATTCGTTCAGAGGGTACTCTACAAACGGTGCACTTGAAAATCAGGGAATATGCGATAAGCAAGTAACACAATATAATTATCAATGCTTTTGAAATATCAATGTCCTTCGTTTTCACGATACATTTCGTATCCGAAACTGCTCCCTAACCGTCTTAGATAGTTTACGATTTTTTTTAACAATTTCTTCTCGCCTGACAAACATTTGCACCTTTTATCCCTTTTAATCAACGAAATAATTTTGCGGATAAACTTTGTGTGACCGTCAAAAATGCACTCTAGAGTACAATTGTACCAGTTTCGGATCAATAGTTACTGCTCATGCTTCGATCAGACCAGACCCATCCATAATTATGGGAGAGAAATAATTATAGACACCGTCAAAAAAAATCGTCTATACTCAAATGATTCCCAAGATCTCTATACAAATTGCACAAAAACAAACAATTCAGAACCCGGTAGTCTTTTTTATCTGCGTCGCTGAAGGCAAAAGCACGTCTAGTAATCATCCGTTCGAAAGACCGTGCATAAAGATTTCCTGGTCTCTATAGAAAGGAATGATTTATATTTAGTCTACAGTTTAATAATTAATGAGTTACAGCGTGTCAGCGTGTCAGCGTGTATGCTATTTGTACATCTGCTGTACAGTCACTTCCTGTTACCGATAGTTTGAAAGTCTCATTGTGTCTCATGTAAAACTTATAAAATGATGTTTATCCATACATGAACACGATGTACAATAATTAATGTGTACATATTACTTCATATATTTCTTTAAATCCCTGTTATTCAACTATAGAAAAACATCATAGGAGTTAGAATTTGTTTTGGAACGACGGTTCATATTTACGCTTTGAGACCCAAGATTTAAATGCTACCTGAAAGTGTAATTGTAATCCTAATCGTAGGTGTATGACAGTTTCCGCAAATGTCCAATGACCAGTATAATAGGCTTACTGAGAACAAAATCACATTTAAGTATCTAATAGTTTTGAAAATAAATGAACATGGAGATAATTTCGGACAGCAGTCAAAAACTATGTCCTTCTACTGGTCATTAATGGATATCTCAGAAATTATATACAGGGCTAACACCATAATATTATATTAGCCCTGTATAACCACGTGTTATCCGATGGAGAATGTCTGTCATAAAGCTGTCACATGTTTAGACGTGTATAATAAAATTAAAATTTGATGTGGCGGCTTGGTCATTAACATTATCACCATTTACAACAGACAAAATAGGTGATCTGAAAGGTACACCATCTACTTGCCACTATACATCATTTACTGTGTTACAACCCTGAAAAGGGGACGAGGAAAGGCATCACATCGACCAACGAAAGCTATATTTTTATGTAGCCTAGGTGGTCGAGTGGTCTAGGTTGCTGGACACGGTGCAGGCAGTGTTGCCACTATGTCACAAAAGCAAGGGTTCGAATCCCGCTGAGGGAAGAACAAACATTTTCTAACGCATATTTGAAGATCTAACATTGTTGGGCTAAATTTGAGACGAGTTATATATATATATATTATAGTGTTAACCTTGTATAACCACGTGTTATGCGATGGAGAATGTCTGTCATAAAGTTGTCACATGTTTAGACGTGTATGTACATATATATATATATATTACTAAGCCGCCGATATTAGAAAGTAGGACATCATGATTTTGAAACAAGTAAAAGCAGATTTATTTATTCGATTTTGATGTCAGTAGCTGCAAGAATTGTGTAAAACGTTCTTATTTTGTTTTCCAAATGCCTTTTTTTTATTGTTGATTATACATGTACTCGTTTTAAAGAGTAAAATGCATTTTTCGAACTGATTTTTACAGCACATATTACATGTAACTTTATAGACTCGGGCAAATTATGATTCATAAAATCCCTAAATTATATAAGGAAGATACTCTGAAACTGAACCAATACAGTGTCGCTATTTTGGAATTGTGTCTTTTTCGGATGTTTGTATCAACCTGTTTTTAAATAATGTAAAGAAATAATCCAAAGATTTTGAAATAAATATTTCAAAGTCAAAACAATGAAATTTTTGATTAATATCAATCACAAAGTAGGAAACACAACCTCGTCAAAAAGAGAAAAAAACACGTCTGTTAATGAGGAAGAAAACAAGGTACATGTTGTTAGCTTTTTTAAGTAGCAAGTATTGTATGTCAGAGGGAGGTTTGAATAAACTCTTATTTAATGCATAAAATATTCAGTTTCGTATTCATAAGATATCAAAATTTGAAATATTAATAAAATCCTTGATTTTGTTAAAATTAATTAGTTTAATTCAAAAGATCTTGAAGGGAGTGACTAGGTAGAAAACAAAAGTGGACTTTTTAACGTAGTAACAAAGATGGTTACCACTTGAGGAAAAAAACCGCAAGAAATCTTTATACATACATTAGGGGCCAGCTGAGGACCACCTCCGGGTGCGGGATTTTCTCGCTGCGTTGAAGACCCATTGGTGGCCTTCGGCTGTTGTCTGCTCTTTGGTCGAGTTGTTGTCTTTTTGACATATTCCTTATTTCCATTCTCAATTTAATGAATATCTTTTCCCCCTAGAAATCTACGAGGAATGGGGAACTCTGACAAACTCTATGATTTTCAGCCTTCATATTATCAACTTTGAGAAATTAGTTAATAACCTACCTTTTGGTAATCAAACAGGTTATGTCCGTAATGGGGTTGAACCGTCATATTATACATGTATCAAAACGACTAATTAGATTCTTGATGAAAAACAACGATAATGAGACAAAATCCGATGGCCAACACGAACACATTTTGTTGATGTGTCCCATTGCCAAAACATCCTTAAAACATAACTTATACCAGATTATTATACTACCGATGTAGACAGGTACCTTCAACAGAACATCAATTTGAGATGTATGTTTAACAGGAGATGCTCACCCTCTCAGCGCATCTTGTTGTTATAATCATCAGTATACTGCCTTTGTTTGATTCTTAATTCAATGAATAGTCCATGGTATATTTAAATTTATTTTTTAAATTTAATTTGCAGGAAAAATTTAATTTTCATACGGTTCAACTATATTTAAACAACCTGAACAGTGTAAATCAAGAAAAACAGACATTGGAACTTCAAAAGATAAACAAATATGTGAAGAATACATTGATTGTGTCTGTTTACTACAGTCAGAAAATGAAGGAACTAATATTGAAGGAAGAAGCGGTCAGTACATACCGAAACTTTAAGAAGTTGTTAAACAATAATTTACAAGATAAACAAAATCAATTCCATGCACAATATCTGCATGTATTAAATTGTTTTGGAAAATACAACGCATGAATCGAAAAACATCAAACGTAGAAGAAAAATAAACCAAAATTAATACCAAAAAGGACACCAAAAATGAACCAAGGAACAAACGTGTTCTTGGAGAACACCCTTAGAAAATGAAGGAATTATACATTTTTTTTATTATAAACTGAAAAAGTTATCAAGCATCAATTATTAAAAAACATCATTCCTGTACCTAACCTATAAAACCTTTTTGCATATTATAATACAAAGGCATATAGGACATTTTAAGAACAAAAGTAAAAAAAGCGGGATTTCTTTAATAAGAAATTAATAATAATATGACACAAACTATAGGAAAGATTGTTGTTCGCATTGTAAAAGTTCAAAACAAAATAAATGAATTGTCCTCGAAATATCGACTGCGACTGCACCAGTGGCTATATTCGCTATCTGCAGAGTGGACGACACATGCAGTTCAATCAAAAAGGGATTTACTTATCATAGTGCCTAAGAATATATGCTACAAGCGTTTGCTTTATTTTTACTTACTATCGGACAAATGTATCTGATACATTTTTTCATCGATTGTCATCAGCAGTAAGCAATAAGCAATTGACAGTATCAACATAATCAATGTCTTCATTAAGACTAAATGAAAAGTTATATCTGTCTGAATGCGAATTTTAATTTTTTTTCTGTGATTTATTGTATTGCTGGTAGAGATTAGTTTTGGTACCAAGTAACACATTTTAAAGCAAGTTAGTTCCATTTTCATATTTGCTTTTGTAGATTAGCAACATTAATTCAAATGATGAAAACACTGCGTCACATAACCATAGTCCTATGTCCAGGAGAAGTAAGATAAAAACCAATAGAACAAAGCAACAAAGTAATCAAAACACGTGGAAAACATTGTTTCGTGTCTCTGTTTATGGTATTTGTCGAGAAGACTTTGTGAGATCAAGTATAGAGGGACATTTTTCATCGAAAAGACAGTATGGCGAAAGACCAGGAGTACAGTGGCCATCAATGCATCCTCTACTACCGTATAAAAACAGACATCTCGACGATGATGACATTTCAAATTAGATCAATATTTTGTTATTCTCATTTATGGAGGTTAGAATTATTTGTGCGATATATAAAATTACTCTCCGTAAAAAGTTTAATCCTGTCAATGTTGAATGAGAAAATAGCGTAGTTTGAGTCCAAGTTGATAGATTTGCATTGATTTGTGTCAAAAATAGATGAGGCTGACTTGACTTTAACTGAATTTGAATTATGCACTGATGGGAACTCAACCAAAATTTAACAGCTACATACAATTGTTAAACAATATTATGTGTCTGTCTTGAATTTATAGCTACCAAGCTTTTGCACTTACATTTGATAAATATTTCATACATTTTTTCTTACCAAAAAAAACGTTTAGTTTAAAAATCCATTATTAATTACACCGTCAGTCAAATATAGATTAAGGTTTTGGCCTCGAGCATCAATGAAGACATATTAGTTGTCGAAATGCGCATCTGGTGCAGTAAAATTGGTAGCGTTTATATTATTAAGGAAAATACTCACTTGCCTATTTGTATATCTAACAAATGTTTTATACTTATCATGCTTATTGCTTCCTTGTCATTTGATTGTGCTCGTTCCTGATAAACTGATTCCAGCATATTTGTTGTACTCATCGTCATGGTTTTCATTATTTATATTATATTTTGTCATGCACATCTATTCATGTTATTTAGTAGAATTTTTCAAGTATGAATAAAAGTAGACATGGAGTGAACACCAATGAGACAACACTTCTTAGACACTAGTACACCAACATAATCTAATATCAACATTATAAAACAAGATGTGGTTTGATTGCCGTTAGGAAAACTATCTACAAGAGTCCAATGACATGGATTAAAGCTTAAGGCCTTCGACAATGAAAAAAAACCCATATCGTATAGTACAAATGCATTTTTCAACAGAAAAACAATGTCTGTCTAACTCCAAAATAACCCTGTGTGTCATCATTAATTATCTCAATTTGCCTATAACTGTTTCTTATACACGTTTCCGTTATATCGCCATCTTCCATTGTGATAAAATGTGATGCGTACAGGTCTTACATATTTAATAACTTCTGAACAAAATAAAAGACGGTTTAATAAGACCACGTATAAGTCCCTTAAAAATCGACGTACTATTAAACATTGCGTCAAATGTGTTCAAATATGACAATTCAACATGTTTATCTCAATATAGCTGGCATTCCTACATCATTATCAAGATTATATTATCCTTTATCATTAAAGCATCACTAGAGAGACATTGATTGGTGAAATGCGCATCTGGTGCAGACAAATTGGTACCGTTTATATTATTAATACCTTTGGATGATGCCTCTGTTGGTGGACTGATAGTCCCCGAGGGTATCGCCAGCCCAGTAGCCGGTATTTCGGTACTGGCATAAAAATACGGATTTTGTGTTATTAAAATTTGCTGTTACAAAATTTTGGAAATTATTTTAAATACTGGAATATATCTCCCTCATGCAAAGCTCTGATTCCTTGCCCGGCTTTGGCTATTCTTTTTGTCCTTTTTGGTTCATAGCTCTTCATCTTTTTAATAAGCTTTGGATTTTCAAATATTTTGGACACGAGCATCACTGAAGAGACATTGATTGTCGAAATGCGCATCTGGTGCAGAAAAATTGGTACCGTTTATGTTATAACAATAATTAATGAAGAGATATTACATTATAGACAGTAAAAAGCAATCGAGCGTTATTTGTAACTTCACACAAGATACAAGATCTTAGGTTTTAATAGAACAGTTGAATAATCTCTTCAATAGGCGAATGGACAGCACCAGCAAGTCTTGGTAGACTCGTTATGGAAAATATGCTTGGAGGAAGATATGTTTCACCAATGACCACATGTACGTTATATACGTCGACACAACAATCCCGCCCCTTTTTCTTTGTATATTACTCATATGTACAACACGACGTTCGTAGAAGATTATAGTATGGTTTTGTATAAGACAAGTCAAACATACATAATAGGCATACGTTAAGGGCGATTGAACATGTTTTATATTTGAATTATATCCCATGTATTAAATATACTATTGATATGTTATCTTTGATAATACAATTGTAGAGGATCGTTTGATTTACGGACAATAATAATAGCAGGTTTCACTTCTGCAGCATACACTGCTTCTACATCCTAATGACTTTTGTATACCTCTCTTGTGGTTGATTTCAAGTTTCGTAGTATTTGGTTTTTATGTGTACTACACGTGTTGTGTTTTGTGGACTGTTTTTGATCTTTGGATCTGTTTTGTATACTTTTCTATGGCTTATGATATGTGATTGTTATGCTCCATTTCGTATGAGTTTACCTTTTTTGTCTACAAACCATCAATTGTATATAGGCGCGTCTGGTGTTCACAATTTTAATCCTGTTATCTATGATGAGTTTAATGTTTCAACATTGGTATTCAAACTCATATTTTCGAGAAAGTATATGTTTTTGATCTGATATTTCATAATATTTTGATTCTCTGTCAAAATGAACTGAACAAGTGGAAGGTGTCATCGTTTGGTCAAATTCGGTATCATTGGTTAATTCTTCAGTGCATTTATCGTATACTACTGATTTGGTTAAAATTCACATCTCATTTGTTTGATATTACGGATTACAATTATGTTTTAGATTTCTTAGGGCCCGACCAAATGATGCATGTCATGAATCGACTCGTTCTCTGCCTTAACAAATCTTAGTCTTAATAAATAGACTTTCCGTTACCAATTTCCTTGATTAGATTTGTTAAATGCAAAAAAAAAAACAAAAAAACAAACAAAACCGCTTATTATCTTTTTTACTCGTTTTCTCTTCTTTGTGTACTTATTCCCATTTTCAACGTTGGACTTTTAAGTGCCATAGAATTAATTACACCAAGAATTCACGCTTGGCATTACTAACTCAGCCTAAAAAAAATGCTGATAAACAAAGCATTAAACAAACATGTTCTTAAAATATAACACATTTATTTGCACAACCTTCGAAACAGGAAGAAAAGATTGTACTTTGTAAAATTTTATTAATTGAAAGTTTTTATTTTGAATTCAAATGATAAAATAAATTTAATTGTATCTACTCATTAACACTGCTAAGAGAACGAGGACTTACAAATGCGGTTTAGGTAATATTGCGGTATGTTGTAGTTTAAAAACCTCGCTTGTTTGTCATAAAACATTGAAATAAAGTCATTTATACTTGTCGTAGAGTATTTTTGAAACAACCATTGTCTACGTTTTAATCACCAGAAATAGCGACAATTGTTTTACAGGGTCACATGTTAATACAAAAAAAGATTGAGATATTGGGAACTCGAATCGCTCATCTGATGATCATTCTATGCAATCTCTACTGTAACGCTGTATATATTGTCAAAACAGGTGTGGTTAAGACTGAAAAGGTGTCAACGAAATATCATCATCGGCAGTACTTTCCCGTATGACAATTGCTCTTCACCAATATACACTATTCACGATTAATCACGATGTAACTTGATAGAAAATCGTGCAAGCAAGTAAACGTATACAAAACACTTTGATTTGAAGTATATAGTTATGACTACAGTAGACTGCATCATCCTTTGTTATAATGGTTTGTATTATTATGGGCCTGTGTTTTAGTATATTTCAAAGAGTTATCCACGAAGTTCAAATAAACTGGTTGTCGTTGGTTCATGTCTGTCAATGTAACAACATATCAAAATTTGAAAAGCTTTGGTTAAACGTGGTTGCACATAAACGGGATAAGGAGACATGTTCCAATCTATTAATGACAGGAACTTCAGGTCATGGAAAGTTGAAAATAGTCAATATCGAATTTGGTCTCCATTATGTCCTCAGATAAAAAATACTAAAATTTGAAAAGCATTGGTTGAACGGTTTATAAGTTGTTGCACGACAACTATATCTTTTGTGCAAAGAAGGTGAACGTAAACAAGTTTGCAAGATGTATAAAAACTAACGTTTTACCTAAAACTGTAAATCATATTCAATGTATTACACAGTTTAGTTTGAAGTAACTAAGGCTATCAATATCAAATAAAGGCAATAATGTCCAGTTTGACAAAATATCACCCAATGAACTGGCAATGCATGGAGATACTAAAATTTAGACTCAAGTTACTAGTTGTTTTACAAAGTATCATGTAAGCATGGAAAAAGATTCACTCCTTTATTTTAAATGAATAAGTGTTAGTCATGGAATGTTTTCATTCTTCGTGTTTTATTGTCCTTAAATTTACATTTTTATCTATCGGTACTTTGCTTGATTTATGAGTCTTAGAGTTTTACTTCCAAACAACTTGAGAAGTTAGGCAGCATTTAATTAGAAAGAAAAGACATTGCTTCACCCTAATTAATGCACTCATATATGATAGGACTAAACATGGTTAGAACATAGTCTACATTAGCTTTAGAATATTTAAAAGTTCTCCATCCTCGACCGAAATAATAATTTAATAATTTGCCCGACATAATTTTTTTTATTCATTCAATTTTTAGAAATAACATCAGAATATTTAAATCCCTCGAGAATAACTTTAAAACGAGACATAAACCCCTTTATCAAGCTCTATTCATAAACATTTTATTGGTACACGCACGAACCATTGTTCTATGAGTTACTTCCTTACTGATAATCTTTCAATTTTATTAAATATTTTTGTATTAACCAAACTACATATCACCAATACCGTATGATTATAAGCAAATTTTTGTGATAATACATTTTAAAAGGCATAAAGAATAAATATGAAAAAATATGTTTCTGTTGTGTGCTATATTTAAAAATATACAAACAGTATAGGCTGTCGAGCTTGTTGTCAAGCTATTGTGAATATTGTGTTTACAAATAGCCTTGTGTCAAATATTTCTTTATTTCTAACTGATTATTCATGGAAAAGGCATTATTAATTCATATTTTTGAAACAACTATTGTCTAAGTTTTTATCATTTGAAATAGCGACTATTGTTTTTGAGAGGATCAGATATTCATACAAAACAAGATTAAAAAAGTGGGAACTCGAATCGCTCATCTGATAATTATTCTATGCAATAACCAATGTAACACAGTATTTATTGTCAAAGCGGTTGTCGTTCGGAATGATAAAAGTTTGAAACAAAATGTCATTACCGGTAGAAAATCGACCAAGCAAGTAAACGTATACAGAACACTTTGATATAAATAAATATTCATGACCACAGAAGACTGCATCATCCTTAGTAACAACATATTAAAATTAAAACAAAATGGATAAAAGATGTTGCACAGAAACGATATAAAGTGCCCTGTTCCAATTTATCAAAGACTAGAACTATTAAAATACGAAAAGCTTTTGAACGGTTCATAAATTATTGCACGAAAAAGTTATAGGAAGCCGCCTACCGTCCGTCTCCCGCCCGCTTAATTCCTTCGCATAACCCGATTTAAAAAGGTATCAAAATTAGCAGGAATTATATTTTGTTCAATGAAGTCTGATAGAAGTACGAAAAACTAACTTAATACTTTAACTGTAAATATAATCAATTCATTACAGAATTTAGTTGTAATTAAGCCTGTCAATTCAAATAAAGGCAATTATGTCAAGTTTGACAAAATATCACATAATGAACCGGAGATACTTTTGTTTAGGCTCTAATCACTAGTTTTGTTTTACAAAGGATCATGTCAGCATGGAAAAAAAAGATGCATCCCTTTATTATGAATAAATAAATGCTAGTCGTGGACTTTTTCAACATATGAAACTATGCAGCATTGAATTACAAAGACAAGACCCTACTACACCCCAATTTATGCACGCTTATATGATAGGACTACTCGTGTTTTAGACTTGATTTACATTCTTCGGCAATTCTCAATTTCAGTATATTTGCAAATTATTGTCCTAACTTGTGGGTTTTAAATATTTAAAGGTTCTGTTAAAAGGCTGTCACCATCCTCGACCGAAATAATAAATTAATATAGTTTGCTGAATCACTTATTTACAAAATTTGCTCAACATAATTTTTCTTATTCAACTTTTTAGAAATTAAATCGTAATATTTAAATCACTCGAGAATAACTTTAAAACGAGATAAAAAAGACCCATCATCAATCCCTCTTTTTAAACAAATATATATTGTCTTGACATTTTATTGTAACACGCATGTATCATCGTTCTGTTAGATACTTCCTTACTAATAAAAATTTCCATTTTAATTAATATTTGTTATAGAACAAAGTAAATCTCATCAATGTCATTTGATGAAAAACAATTACGGAAGTTTTTGTGAATACCACATACGTTCTAAAAACTTCCTGTATTAGTTTCTTTTCTATATATAAGAATAAACGTCTGTAATTATCACGGTTATTTCTTAATATGATAATCATTCGGACGGGCGATTTGATATCGTTAAAACCATGGTAAGTTCGAATACTAAAATACAATTTGAATATAATTTCACTTTTACAAAAGTATATAGAAATACAAAGAAAAAATGGCAGAATTGTTATTGTTGTTTGCTAACAATGTTCTACTCAAGCCATTTCAAAATATACAAACATTATAGGCCGTCGAGCTTGTTGTCAAGCTATTGTGTATACACAACGCCTCGTGTCAACTATTTGTCTAATTTCAATTGATTATCCATGGAAAACGCATTATGTTGTGACTAGTTAGAAAACTAAATAATAGAATTTGATTTTAGAAAACATATAGGAAAACGAGACAACCACTACCATTATTCTGCTACCTAAAAAGGTTACTAATGAAGCAAAGTATTGTCTTTGACGTTTTGAATCAGCCATTACTAATATGAATATAAGGACTTTTTTTATAAAGAAAATGTAATATTAAATTTTGAAATTCATTTGAAAATAACATCACACTTGGTAGTATTGGTTTATCGAAAGTGGTTTTCTGGATTTACATTCATCAGTAATGATCAAACCAAAACAATTGAAAAACAGGTATGTCTATAAAGGCACATTGCCCTCATGCAAAGTACTAATTCTGTGTCGGGGTTTGGTCATTTTTAGTAAGATAAGCTCTTCTAACTCCGTTTTATGTAAGGTTTTGGGTTCGAGTTACCTCTGATCTACGCTTGCTTCGGTTATGTCATTAGAACACTAATGATATGTCAAAGTTCTTCTTTTTCAGATACCTGTTTTTTTATTTGTTCTGTTCATTGGTAATTCAGCGTTACATCAAATCAACACTGACTTAGATAGAGAATGGCTTCTTTTTAAAAAGCATACCACAAAGTTTACGACGATGGAAGTGAAGATCAATTGAGGTAGAGTCTTTTGTGTGATATTCAGCTAGTCAATATCAGACTCGGAAAACAATGTTTTTAAATATAAATTAGATGAAAAGATTACAAATTTTGTCTTTAAATATGATCAAAGAATGCCAGAAATGTCTTATCATCACGGGACTCAATATTGTAATATATTAGTGTGGAATGAAACATCTGTCGTAGGAACTGAAATCCGGATCATAAGGGTTTTCCAACTGATTTTTACATATAAAAAACTATATGAAATAGCGTGTGTACCGGCTTTGATAAGTGTTTGGTATAACTATAAATTTTCACTTCGTACTATGAACATCAAAATTATTTATTTTGTAATAATATTTCCTTTCTCTATTGGTACTGTACACGTATACCTAACAACAAAATTATTTTCATTTACCTGTGTTTAAAGTTATTGCAAATGGATGGTATTTTTGTTCGAGCATATTGTTTTTCTTTAATTGTTTAACATTTCTTACCGATATAACATGTTACTTTTATTATTCTTCCCTTAGTTTATTTATTTTGTATTCAAAATTATTTATTTTGTAAAAATATTTCCTTTCTCTATTGGTACTGTACAGGTATACCTAACAACAAAATTATTTTCATTTACCTGTGTTTAAAGTTATTGCAAATGGATGGTATTTTTGTTCGAGCATATTGTTTTTCTTTAATTGTTTAACATTTGTTACCGATATAACATGTTACTTTTATTATTCTTCCCTTAGTTTATTTATTTTGTATTTACATTGTGTCATAGGTCAAATTTATTTGTTCAGTGTATGTTCAATGGTGTTAATATGTCCTTTGATTGAGTTGAGCTATTTCAGTTGATATTTTATAGTGTGTCTTTCTATGTTGTGATGTTACACTATTGTTTCAGAAAAAGGGTGAAGGTTTGGTACCATTAAAACGTTTAAACTCGCTGCATTTGTTTGCACCTGTCCTAAGTAAGGAATCTGATGTTCAGTAGTTGTCGTTTGTTGATGTGGTTCATAAGTGTTTCTCGTTTCTCGTTTTTATATAGATTAGACCGTTGGTTTTCCCGTTTGAATGGTTTTACACTAGTAATGTTTTGGGGCCCTTTATAGCTTACTGTTCGGTGTGAGCCAAGGCTCCGTGTTAAAGAGCGTACTGTGACCTATAATGGTTTACTTTTATAAATTTTGACTTGGATGGAGAGTTGTCTCATTGGCACTCATACCACATCTTCTTATATCTATGTAATGTTTAAAATGGTCTCTATCCATACAACAAAACCCATATGCATGTGAAACAGTCCTACCAACTGAGGTAATTTTGACGAACTTGTACATCCTAATATGCCTTAAAGATTACATTTACAAATGAGATGTGGTTTGATAGCCACTGAGAAAAATGTACAGTATAGATCAAAGGACGAAGATGTAAATACTGTAGGTTTCCGCACGACCGCCTTGAATGAACAAAACCTAAACAAGAATGTAAGCTATGAATGGTCTAGAGTAAACAACCCCAAACGGAAAAACCAACGTTTAACGGTATGATTTATGACAAAAACCAATAGTCGAAAAATTATGCTTATTGCAGACGGCAACCAAGGAGACCCATTGAATTACAGGCTTCAGTTCTTATTTTTATGTTGTCTTCTTTGAAATTTACTGTTAATAAATGTTCAATTATTCGAAAAACCTAAAAAAAAAAAAAGGAATCTGATTACAGTAGTTGTCGTCTGTTTATGTAGTTCATACGTGTTTCTCGTTTCTCGTTTTTATATAGATTAGACCGTTGGTTTTTCCGTTTGAATGGTTTTACACAAGTATTTTTTGGGGGCCCTTTATAGCTTGCTGTTCGGTGTGAGCCAATGCTCCTTGTTGAAGGCCGTACCTTGACCTATAATGGTTTACTTTTATAAATTGTAACTTGGATGGAGAGTTGTCTCATTGGCACTCATACCACATCTTCCTATATCTAAACATTATCTACCCCGAGTAAAGATGATCTTAGTCGTATGTGGCACAATTTTAATTTTTTTTATTCGAATTATAAGTATAAGATTTGTATATTTGATGATTTTACCATCACTTGTTCGATGAAACTGCTGGTGGACCTTTCTATCATGAGGTTAACACCTTCCCAGTAGTCAGCACTCCTGTGTTGACATGACATATGATTAATATAAATTATTTATGTAAATTTAACGTTTGTAAATGTTGAATAATTCGAAACACTAAGGATTTTCTACCCAATGCATAGATGACCTAAGACATATTTGATACAACGTTTGATTTTTTTTTCGTTGTTTGATACTTTTCTTGATTTGGCCTCCCAATTAATTAATCTGATTCGAGCGCCACCTTTGAGCGTTCCTGATAATAGTAAATCCAGATAAGTGCTTTGGATGCATAAAATAGATAATTTTTTTATTTAATTTTTATGAGTATTATGAGTTTTACCATTTGAATTGGTTCATATTTTGTCATACCGACACCGTTTATTGCTTACGGAAAAATGTACGGTGACCTGTAATTGTTCACATGATTGTCCTTTAGTCTTCATTGGCAATCAAACCATATTTTTTAAAGGACTTTAACGTTTTATTTAGCGTCAAAACTATCTAGGTGGTTGGGACTGTTTCACATGCATGCGGACTTTGTTGTATGTATAGGCATTATTTTATACATTATACGCTGATTCGAAAAAAAACAAATTGCATAGAAATGCGACTGACACAAATATGTATATATTTTGTGTGTATCTATTTTTGAGGGAACAAGTTTTGTCATTGATATTTGTCCAACATTTCCTTTTATTGATATAATAATTTCAGTTATTAGAATAAAGACTTACAGTTCCAAGAACTATTTACTTATTTAAATGCAATTTTGGTTTTTAATGAAGACGATCGATTTGGGAGGAAAATATTCAATACATTCAACACCACAATTTGGCGGCTGACAGAGGAGAACACAGTTATTGGCTTGGTTTGAATCATATAGCTGATATGGCAAGTATTCAGTCAACATTGCAAAGCTAACTAAAGCACATTGAAACAGGACATTGTTTTCTTTGTTTAGATGGAAATAACTTTAATACATATACAGGTGAATAACTGAATAACAGAAGAGTTTGGGATACGTCATAAGACAGTACCTACACGAACCAAGAGCCCAAATACATTTAGTGGTCTTCTCATAAAAACATGTCACTACGTACAAAATTAAAAGCACTTATTAATATAATTGAATGTGGAACAATTGTAAATAATAAATAGTCTAGTATAATTATGTAATCAACACCAACGTCCCTATAGGACAGAGCGCAGTATTATTTAGCAATGACAACTTTCCGCTGTGTTGTCCGACTTTTAACAAGCACATGAACATGTTGCGGAGTTAAACTAAATTTCTTGAGCACTCTTCCTTTTTCTTTTATCTCAACTAAGCATGTCTCATTGTTAAAGGCCGTACGGTTGCCTATAATTGCTAACATCCACTTTATTTGAACTTTGTTGGATAATTGTCTCATTGGCAATCATACTTCATTTCCTTATTTTTATATGTATATTGTATAACTTATTATCAGAAAGTCACAACACATGGAAAAACTGCTTCGGAACTTTATTCAGTCGGTTATTAGTGATATTTTTTATGGTAGTAGTGAAAATCAAGTGTCACGAAGAAATATCCAGGTACGACACTTTTTCAGTGTTTGCAAAATTTGCCTCATTATATAAGAATAATCTGTATGATTTTTGTAGTCTGTTGATGAGGTGATAGAGACAATGACAGGGGGAATCATGCCTGGAAACAAAAGTGAAGGTTCGACATTCCTCCTTCCAAATAATGTTGAGATCCCCAGTGAAGTTGACTGGACAAAGAAGGGCTATGTTACTCCTGTAAAAAACCAGGTACATTTATACTAGTAACAGCTTCATAATAAATAAAAACAAGGATATCAAAAAACACTAGACTTATAATTTGGTACCCCAGACTCATTAATTGCGCTCTATGCAAAACAGTTGAAAGGCCAAATCTAAAACTAAATTGATAAGCATTGGATTCGAAACATTCGAAAACGTTGTGCCATATACGGCTAAGGCTATCTATGTCTAGGGTAGAAAAACCTGAGTGTTTTGAATCATTAAACATTTTATGAACAGTAAATTTACCGAATATGAACGTATCAATGATATTTTCATGCCAACACAAATGTGCTGAATACTAGATTGGTGATACCATCAGAGACTTCAGCAGTGGCATCGACCCAGTAATTGTAAAAACTCATAAAAAACAACAGGCTTATAATGTAGTACGCCAGACGAGCGTTTCGTCTACATCAGACTCATCGATAACACTCGAATCAAAACAGTTGAAAAGTTGATGAATATTGAATTCTAAAACTTCCAAAAAATTGTGTCAAATTCGACTATGACAGAAAACGAAAGCCTGCACATATCAATGTACTAATGGGCATAAAAGAAATGTGCATTAAATCTTGATTTTGTTAATGATAATATTACTTACACTAGATTGGTACTGCTGCTGTTAACACGTAAGTATATATTGGTGTCATCCGTCTTATAGACAGCAGTCTCATAATAAGATAATTAGAAACTGAAAGATACATTTTTATTTTAAATTTAAGTTTATAAATCAAGTATTAACGCTATAAATAAGGTTTCAAAATTCTCAGACAAATTTCGTTTTGTGTAGGTTCATGTTTAGTGCTTGCGAGCCTCTTCTATTTATGAACTGTAAATTTACCGAATATGAACGTATCAATGATATTTTCATGCCAACACAAATGTGCTGATAGTAGTCTCATAATAAGATAATTAGAAACTGAAAGATACATTTTTGTTTTGAATTTAAGTTTATAAGTTTAAAATTCTCAGACAAATTTCGTTTTGTTTAGGTTCATGTTTAGTGCTTGCGAGCCTCTTCTATTTATGAACAGTAAATTTACCGAATATGAACGTATCAATGATATTTTCATGCCAACACAAATGTGCTGATAGCAGTCTCATAATAAGATAATTAGAAACTGAAAGATACATTTTTATTTTGAATTTAAGTTTATAAATCAAGTATTAACGCTATAAATAAGGTTTCAAAATTCTCAGACAAATTTCGTTTTGTTTAGGTTCATGTTTAGTGCTTGCGAGCCTCTTCTAAAGTTCCTTCATTTGGCTTTTCAAGATTACGGTCTTTAACAAACTTGATAAATGTTATTCTATGATTCTTTTGTATACATTTTTATTCTATAAAAACTTACCATGATGAAGCAAATGTTTTCGCAGTTCAACGTAAGTCAAGTATCCTGGGAACAATAGAAAGTTCAATGATGTAAAAAGTAGGTAATTTACTTAGAAATATCCCGTTTTACTTCAAAGCATACGTTTGTCTCATCAGGGTCGATGTGGATCATGTTGGGCTTTCTCAGCTACAGGATCATTAGAAGGGCAGCATTTTAGGAAAACAGGGAAACTCGTATCGTTATCGGAACAAAATCTGATGGACTGTTCATCAAAATATGGTACGCAAAATAAAAAAATGCCTTATGCATATGTGCAATTTTTGTTTAATCTACTAGAGTGAAGCTACCACCTAACCATGGCAACATAGAACATCAAATATACAAGGCTTATTATTTGGTACGCTAGATGCGCGTCTCGCTTCAAAAGACTCATCAGTGGCGCTCGAATGAAACCAGTTAGAAGGCAAAATCAAAGCATTACAAAAATGAAAGTTCCGAAAAATTATGTTAAGTACGGCTAAGGCAAAATATTCCTTAATTTTTTAAAATTTTTGTCGACAAATACCCAAACAACTATATCCGGTGTTAAATTGTATGAGAGAGTAGTATTAACAAAAATACTTTGTACATACCACCTATCTGATACCACTGACATTGTAGTATAAACAGTAATACTTGGTATATACCACCGATCTGATATCACTGACATTGTAGTATAAACAGTAATACTTGGTATATACCACCGATCTGATATCACTGACATTGAGGGTTTGAAGTAATACTTAATACTTGGTACATACCATTGATCTGATATCACTGACATTGAGGGTTTGAAGTAATACTTAATACTTGGTACATACCACCGATCTGATATCACTGACATTGAGGGTTTGAAGTAATACTTAATACTTGGTACATTCCATTGATCTGATATCACTGACATTGAGGGTTTGAAGTAATACTTAATACTTGGTACATATCACCGATCTGATATCACTGACATTGAGGGTTTGAAGTAATACTTAATACTTGGTACATACCATTGATCTGATATCACTGACATTGAGGGTTTGAAGTAATACTTAATACTTGGTACATACCACCGATCTGATATCACTGACATTGAGGGTTTGAAGTAATACTTAATACTTGGTATATACCACCGATCTGATATCACTGACATTGAGGGTTTGAAGTAATACTTAATACTTGGTACATACCACCGATCTGATATCACTGACATTGAGGGTTTAAACTGGATCCATCCACCTTCAACAAAGGGCCTAGCGGATGTGCCATTGGAAAAGAGGAATCAAGTCTGATGATGTCATACACACACACACACCCACAGAAAACATATTTTTATAGATAATTTAAAAAATGATTAAGTTACCTAGATATTAGCTGGAATCATTTTAGAAACAAATTTATCCATTTAAGACAACTAAATTTTAAAAAGTTAAAAACCTGTCTAGAATGGAGAAATGTCTTATCTCGCAATAAAGATAATAAATCTAGTATTAATTAATTGAAAAATCAATGACATAGTTTTTAAAAACTATCAAATCAATTCAAACGACACCATTTCTTTATTCCTAGGGAATGAAGGCTGCAATGGAGGTTTTGTAGGTGCTTCATTTGCATACGTCAAAGAAAATAGAGGAATAGATACAGAAAATGGCTACCAATACCAGGGAAAGGTAAGCAAATAGAAAACAAATACCAGGAAACACGTTGTTGTGGATTAATTCATTGTATCAAAGTTATAAGATACAAAACGCAATACGTACATTTTGTCTGTAAATAAAAGTGTAAATAGCATTTTATAAATTTGGGGCGTCCGAACCTCTTTTCTTGATTCACCTTTGTTAGAAACGCTCAAACCCCAAATCTTGAAATCCAAGGATGTATATACAGCGGCCTAATATTATAGAGTCATTAAAATGTGCATTAAATAATATAACTCACAGATAATTGTTTGACGGGAAAGTAGATAGATGTAAAAAGGGAAAGTTATAATATAGATAAAATCTGCATAAATGCCTATAAAAATGTTGTATGTCGTAGAACCTTTAAATTCGAAGTTCTCCTGTATCTACGAAAATGAGTCAAGCTGATGTGACTCTGCCTCTGGTAATAATGTTCGATCATTGACAAGTTAGAAATGCAAACAAAAGACAGATCTGACACATCATTCAACTATCGACATGTAAAGATCGGCTGTATGAGCTCGAGTTTATAGTCAGCACTATAAGTAAACCATATCAACATTATAAATCTTCATCAAGTCCTATATATTATATTCCATGAATGATTGTTTTTAATTTGGATCATGAATTCCGTATCAGATGCCTGTGGGTACATAGGTAAATAAAGGCAACAGTAGTATATCGTTGTTCAATAGTCATAAATCGATTAAGCGAAAACAAATCCGGGTCACAAACCAAAACCGAGGGAAACACATCAACTATAAGAGGAAAACAACGGAACAAGACAATGAACGGCAACAAAAACAAAAACAAACTCCAACATACATAGAAACGGACTATTTGATACCAACTGCCATATTCCTGATTTGGTACAGGACATTTTATAAGACAAAATGGTCGGTTGAACCTGGTTTTATGGCTAGCCAAACCTCCCGCTTATAAATGTATTTTGTCGATGATCTAGGTCGGAAGCTGCAGGTACACACAATCTAACATTGGAGCTACTATCACAGGACACACGGTGATTAAAAAGGGAGATGAAAATCAGTTGAAGGAGGCCGTAGCAACAGTGGGGCCTGTGTCGGCATGCATTCACGCGGATAAAAAATTTCAGTTGTATAAACGAGGTAAACGTTTTTAGAATTAACAAAATTCAAATGAACCTTCGTATTTATGTTCATTAGAACAGTACATGTAAAGCTAAATATCTTTGTAATGTAAGATATCAAATTGAATTCGTTTTTTTTAATGTAGATTTTCACTTTCTTCACTTTCTAAAGTGAATATTATTTTCCTGATATTTACATATACAGATTGAGTTGGTGGCTTTGAGCCGTAAACTCTGATTACACCAATTTCTTTGTATGGTCCCAGTGGAACTATTTGTGGTTCTCTTATACCCTTGATTCGTTTGAACCATACGACTTGCAACTAAAAGACAAATTGAAAGAGTTGGTATTGCTTTGTTTCATAATAAAGAATGGCCAACGTAGATACAAGGTTTAAATCCTACTTTGTAAAAAATCACTCTGATTCAAACAAAAAATTCTCCGGAACTGACATTATCAAGATGCTTGATTTCTTGATTGACAACATATTTGTTACGTTTGGAGGACGTGTTTTTCAACAAACTATCGGCATCCCCATGGGAACCAACTGTGCCCCTCTTCTTGTCGACTTGTTCCTTTATTCTTATGAGGCTGACTTCATACAGGAACTTCTTAGGAAGAAAGAAAAAAAGTTAGCAGTAACCTTAAACTTTACTTTTCGCTATATAGATGATGTTCTCTTACTATATAATTCAAAATTTGGTGACTATGTTGAACGAATCTATCCAATCGAACTAGAGATGAAGGATACAACAGATACAGTTAAGTCTGCCTCATATCTTGACTTACATCTAGAAATTGACAATGAGGGTCGGTTGAAAACAAAACTTTACGACAAAAGAGATGATTTCACCTTACCAATTGTGAACTTTCCATTTCTATGTAGCAACATTTCCGCAGCGCCTACATACGGAGTATATATCTCCAAATTGATACGATATCCCCGGGCTTGTATTTCCTATCATGATTTCCTTGATATAGGGTTGCTGCTCACAAGGAAGATATTAAACCAAGAGTTCCAAATGGTGAAGTTGAAATCATCCCTTCGTAAATTTTACGGACGCCATCACGAGTTGGTTGACCGTTTTGGAATAACCGTTTCAAAGATGATAGCGAATATGTTCCTAATGTCGTAACTACAATCCCGTTCCATTTTCACGAATGTGACCTACCGAATTAGACTATTTACCGGATTTGTACTAACATGAGCAACACGACCGGTGCCACATGTGGAACAGGATCTGCTTACCCACCCGAAGCACCTGAGATCACCCCCAGCTTTTGGTGGGGTTCGTGTTGCTTAGTCTTTAGTTTTCTATGTTGTGTACTTTTGTTTGTCTGTTTGTCTTTTTCCTTTTTAGCCATGGCGTTGTCAGTTTATTTTCGATTTATGAGTTTTAATGTCCCTCCGGTATCTTTTGCCCCTCTTTTGCAAGAAAGGGTGTCTAACGATAGTCGAAAATATACGAACGTTGTCTTTTAACTTCAGGATCAGTTAAAAAGATGATATCCTTTCACTGCATTATTCAGTCTTATAATTAGTTACTTGAGGACTCCGATGGCCGAGTTGTGTAAGAAGTTCATCCACAATGATAACTAGACTGTAAACTTTCAGTCTTATTCATCTCCTGGCGAGGTATGAACAACTGTGTTTCTAATTGACAAGGATTGCCAGTTTTCCTGTCCAATATCTGTGGTTCTCTCCATGTAGACCGGCTTCTCCACCTCCTGTCCAATATCTGTGGTTCTCTCCAGGTAAACCAGCTTCTCCACCTCCTGTCCAATATCTGTGGTTCTCCCAGGTAAACCGGCTTCTCCATCTCCTGTCCAATATCTGTGGTTCTCTCCAGGTAGACCGGCTTCTCCACCTCCTGTCCAATATCTGTGGTTCTCTCCAGGTAGACCGGCTTCGCCATTTCCTGTCCATTATCTGTGGTTCTCTCCAGGTAGACCGGCTTCTCCACCTCCTGTCCAATATCTGTGGTTCTCTCAAGGTAGACCGGCTTCTCTACCTCCTGTCCAATATCTGTGGTTCTCTTCAGGTAGACCGGCTTCTCCACTTCCTGTCCATTATCTGTGGTTGTAACGTCATGGACATGTCATAATTAGCACTTAAGGAATGGTCATTTTGCAAATAGTTTTTTTGGGGGTAAGTAAAATTAGTTAATGAGAATCCATCTAATCTCAAAGACATCTCCTGTATATTGTCATCATTTTGTAAGAATTCTCGAAGAACTGTTTATGGGTTTATGGGTTGCGTTTGTATATTTAATCTAAATTTGAAAAGGTGATCTGAAAAACTAGTAAATTTTAGTAAACTTTTATTTGTCCCTAAAGCATCCTTGTAAGATCAAATCATGTATATCAATATATGAATGATTTTATATTGACTAATGTCTCTGAAACATTCGCAGATACAATTCATTACACGCATAAGTTTTAGTCAAAATATATAGGAGCAAGAGCTTTACCCCAAAAGTTAATTGACACACATAAACATCTTTGTAAAATACATTATGCAGTAAATTATATTGTTGTGTAAAGTGTGCCTACGTCTAAATAAAAATGACAAAATCTCAAAATGAGGATTTTGTTGCAGTTTTTGCTGTTTTGCACTTAATGTAAGAATTTTTGAAGCACTAATGGCAGTATGTCAGACAAATTTAAAACGACACTACAAATAAATCTGACAAAGACGCGAACAAAAAATAGATTGTAGTTATTAGTACATGCATTAAAGTAAAACATAATTTCATATAAACGTTTCAAATACTAAGTAATTGGGATCCAGCAGCCAAAACTGTCACAGACATACAAACACAATTGACTTAATAATTCAAACAACCATACAAATATATTTTTGTAGTAAATAGTACATATTTATAAAACATAATTACATATACACCTTCTCGATAAAGTCCAAATTAAGTAAAAAAATTACAAGGGTATACAAAATGAACCTTTAAAAACTCATGCGTCCGAATTGTACCGCTGGATCCACCCGCATCAGGAACGCCCAAAGTCAAACCCTATAGATGGATGCACAAATCTTAATCATGTCAATAGTCATACGACCAAAAGGAACATGATAGTACAAAGACAAATAAAGGGAAAACTGTAAAGTACATAAAATGATACACAACGTCAGCACCTAGAATCTATAACTCAAGACCATCCTGTATTATTTGTGGAGTAGACATCGACTATTTTTCACTTAGGTCTTGGTACTTTCCGATGAACTTTTTGAAAAAAGGACGACACGTTCTTTGACAAATCTCTGGCTCTTTAATTTTTTGCCCAGACAAAGATGACGTTTTACAAAGTCTGAGTAGCAGTAGATTTTGAAATGAGTTAACCAGTCTCAAGATTGAAACTTTAAAGTACGCATAAAGCTGGTTGCCATCCCACTTGCATGTACCATAGTCTAAGGGGCCTTATTATAATTACCTATTTATTTGCACGTATCTGAAGTCACAAGCTTAAGTATTTTAAGATTTCTCTAGATCAAAAATGAAAATAACACTTTATGCGCCGGAAGCGCTTTATTGGATTTACCTTAATCATGAACAGTCAATCCTAAACATTTGAAAGCTATGATGTGTAGATACCCGATAACATGAGGAGCTATGACAAGAAGGGACCGTAAAAGAATAGACTAATTTATCTAGGTCATCTTTGCAGGAGGGAATTCGAACCTGAGATTTTGATTAATTTCTTAAATTTTTAATAGAAAATTTAAGAAAAGTATGTCATTTCATTACCGAAATACGGACTACTGAGCTGATGATACCCTCGGTAATTAACACTCCATCAGTAGAGTTATCGACTTAGTGCTCGGAAATGAAAATACCACTTTATAAATGTCATACGTTCGAAGGGTGTTTTTTGAATTAACCTTCATCAGGAACGATCAAACCAAAGTTTGAAAGTCAAGGATGTATATGTACCTAAAAATGTGAGCCGCCTTACAAATTTGATGCGCAAAAATTAAAACTTTTTCGACCTTTTATTTTTTAGTGTTTCGAAGAAATATATTTGACTATTGATTGACGTACAATGTATTGACAGAATTAATATTTCATGAGAATTTGAAGAAATAAAAACAAATATTTTCAGGTGTCTTCAACAATCCGAGCTGTAATTCCTATAGGACAAATCACTGTGTCCTGGTTGTTGGATATGGCACACAAAGTAACGATGATTATTGGCTTGTTAAGAACAGGTACACGTTAACACAATACTCCTTTTGTCATATATAAATTGTTTCAATTTCAAGTGCCTTTTTGTTTTAGCATTAGATTTTATAGATTTAATAATTAGTTTTTATCTATAGAATGTTAGTATTAATGTCTTTTATCCAAAAGCCCAAATTATCGTAAATCTAAATCTATTGGAAACACAACTTCAAAATAATGACTAATTCAGTCTAGACTTATGCCAGGCGCAAAAGAAGACGTAGATACTCTTTCCGAAAGGATTAAGGCTATGAGCTTGTTGCTACAATTATAATTAAAAAAAAACACCACTGAATTGGTCTATGAATACACATGCTACATCGATCTATAAAGACTCAAATGTTTCTAAGCACCTGTCCTATCTCCATGACAAATATGTTGTGTCTGCATATATTACTTGGTCTTCCAATTGCTTCACGTTACCTCTTTTCCAATTTCATCAGCAATCAAATATAAAAAAAAGAAGATGTTATATGATTGCCATTGAGACAACTCTCAATAAGAGACTAAATGACATAGAAATTAACAACTATAGGTCACCGTACGGCCTTCAATAATGAGTGAAACCCAAACCGCATATTCAGCTATAAAAGGCCTCGAATATGACAGTTGTAATCCATTCGTTTGATGTGTTTGAGCTTTTGATTTTGCCATTTGATTACGGACTTTCCGTTTTGGATTTTCCTACGAGTTCGGTTTTTTTGTTATTTTACTTTTTTCGAAATGACAAATGTAAAACAATTCAAACGAGAAAACTAACGGCCTGATTTATGTACAAAATAATGAACGAAAAACAAATATGATATACAGAAACAAACGACAACCACTGAATTACAGGCTCCTGACGTGGGACACACACATACAGAATGTGGCGGGGTTAAACTAGTTTGAAGGCGCCACACCTTCCCGTAACATGGGGAAGTGGTGTAACGGCACAAGACAATAACAAAATTTACAAAACAATAAACATAAAACAAATATGAAATACATCACAAAACGACAGCCACTCAATGTCAGGCTCCTGACTTTGGACAGGCACATATAGAAAGCCGGGCTTCAAAGCTATTATGAAATTATCTACTCTATGGGCGGCGTGAATACGATATGGATACTAGAAAAAAACCAAAAATCTGTTAGAAGTACATACAATCTAAGTCTCTTTCCTCTTGCAATAGTCTTAAAACATCTGACGTTTCTACTCTTTACACAAGAATTCCCAATTCCAAACTAAAGACAAATTAAAAGAAAAGGTCCTGCTAAGTTTCATTGAACAGAATGGCGAGAACGTAGCAGGGGCGTTTCTAGGATATTTGAAAGTGGGGGCGTATAATGCAATATTTGCCGTGCGGAGCGAGGCGAAAAAATTTTTGGACCTTTTTTTTCCTAAAAAACATAAAATAATTGTGAAATATGATAAATTGCCATATTCAATACAATATTAGCAGATTACGATAGTTTTTTTTGGGTTTTTTTTTAAAAGGGGGTGCGTACGCCTATTACGCCCTCACCTGGACCCGCCCCTGTGTGGATACCAGTATCTTGTCTTGGGAGGAATAAATCATACTTAATAAAAAATACTCTGATTTAAATACAAAATTCTTTGAAGCTGACATTAACAAGATGCTGGATTTTTTTTTACAACATATTTGTTACGTTTGGAGGACGCGTTTTTCAACAAACAATCGGCATTCTCATGGAAATCATAGCTGCTCTTCTTGTCGATTGTTCTTTTGTTCATATGAGGCAGACCTTATACAGGAGCTTCTTAAGAAGAGTGAAAAGAAGCTAGCATTATCCTTTAACTCGTTCCGCACTAACGATGTTCTAAACACTTTAAAATTTAGTGAAGATGCTGAATGCATCTGTCCCATCAAACGTGAAATAAAGGATACAACAGATACAGTTAAGTCTGTCTCATATCTTGACATACATCTAGAAATTGACAATGTGTATCATACAAAACTTTATGATAAAAGAGATGAATTCAGCTTCACAATTGTGAAATTTCTATTTTTATGTAACAACATTGCAGTACCGCCTTCATACGGAATGTATATATCCCAGCTGATACGATATTTTAGAGCTTTTCATATCATGATTTCCCTGAAGACGGTTGCTGCTTACAAAGAATATCGAAGCTATGTAAGCAAGAGTTCCAAGTGAGGTGAAGTTGAAATAATCCCTTCGACAATTGTACGAACGCCATCAGGAGTTGGTTTAACGTTACGGAATATCTGTTTCACATATGACGATGGATATGTTCCAATTGTGGTTAACACAATTCCATCCTTTTTTCCTCGATTGTGACCTACCGAATTAGACGTATCACCGGGTTTGTACTAACACGAGCAACACGACGGTTGTCACATATGGAGCAGGATCTGCTCACCCTGAAAATTATGTCCGATTTAAAATAATAACAGATAAGATGTTAGAAAGAGACTCTCGTCGCGTTATATACCCGTTTCGCACTCATACGGCAATAGGCAATGAGCAATCAATCAGTATGATTTCAACTTGCTTTATTGGTAACAATAGTTATTTTTTTCATTGTTTATTCATGCAATAGTACCACTTAATTGATATTGTTCAGCATTTAAGTTGCATATTTGCGAAAATTTCAAATAATGTATTATGAACGCATATAAGTGACCTATGAAAAGACAAATAATATAACATAAATTCCTAGTATGATCAGCATGCATTTCAATAAACTGTTAATATGTTATAATGTAAACCGCCTACAAGAAATGTTAAACTTTAACATGTTACACTCCTATAAGAATAGTCATGTACTTTTCCAGTTTAATTTCAATTTAGCTATTTATTTTTACCTTTTTGCAGTTGGGGAAACAGATGGGGAATAGATGGATATATATTGATGTCAAGGAACAAGGACAATCAGTGTGCCATAGCAACCTCTGCCATGTTCCCTCTAATGTGATAATTACATGTTCTTCTCTTTAACGTGTTTGAATCGCTTAGAATACTTCATTAATATTTAAACAAAATCCTATGAAAAATTAAAAAAATGAGGGATACTAAAGAAACGTATAATATGATTTCCGAACGAAAGTGACGAAAAGACAAATTATTAAAGCTGAAATTAGCTGGTTTAATTGTAAATAAACGGAAAGGTCAAACTAAAAAAATGTTGAAATATGCTCTTAAGAAACATATAACAAATCAATACAATCAGTTCGCATATACGAACCTACAATTTTTGGGTTCGCTTTTCGTAATCTTACTTTTTAACCTCAAAACTAGTTTTAGGAAAACATTGCTTAGTTAAAAAAATAAGAATGTACAGACACGAAAAATCATCGTACAACTTTATGACAGGCTTGCATAGTTAATAGCAATACCAAATATCAGTATTCTAGTTTCAGCGAATAATGTCAGTATACTTTACATTTATTTTATTTAATAGTTTGAATTTGTTTTGAGTCCTTTCTTTTTTATAATGATATATGTAAATTGTCTTTTTTAGCCCGATTTTGCGGTTTGAAAAATTATTTACGTAAACAATTCGATTCATTTTTGGCTTATCTTTAATTCTTAAGTTTAATTTGTTGTAATGTGCTCATTGCTTTAAACGTCACCAACATTCAACCTATTCGTACTAACAGACGTACGAACAAAGACATACAGCAACGAACAGTTAGCTAGTTTTCTAACAAGCACGTGGTTTCCATGTTAGAATTATTTTTCATAACTTTTATACGCAAATACTTTTTGGCATGCAATATTTTAAACAAAGAAGGGAGAGAAGACAATCCTTCCCTACAATGTTGGTTGGCGAGATCTGTAGTGCTGCCCAATATTTTTGGTAATACATGTAATCCTTTTCATGAGTTATTTCATTATTAACGTGTGTTAAATAACATGTGATTTGTTTTGTGGTAAAACAACATTGTCTAAAATGAAATGCTTTTATCACAGATGTTTATTTTTAGATTGTGTTGAAAACTTTATTTAAGGTCAATTTTGGTTTATCACTCCTTATGCATTAACTTTGTTTATTCATATAGACAGCCTTGATCCGATATTTTTCAAATGAATGTAAATCCCTATAGGTAAAGTGGTGTTTGATATCGGATATGTTCCTTATGTCGTAACTACAATACAGTTCCCTTTTCACGAATGTGACCTACCGAATTAGACTATTTACCGGCTTTGTAATAACATGAGCAACACGACGGGTGCCACATGTGGAGCAGGATCTGCTTACCCTTCCGGAGCACCTGCGATCACCACCAGTTTTTGGTGGGGTTCGTGTTGCTGTTGTAACCCATATATGTGACATTTTTACCTATTGTGTCTGTTTGTTTTGTTCACACATTGTTGTCAATATAATGGAATTTGATGCGACTGTCATACAAGTGAGAGGTTTAGCTAGCTTTAAAACCAGGTTTAATCCACCATTTTCTACATAAGAAAATGCCTGTAACAAGTCAGGAATATGACAGTTGTTATCCATTCGTTTGATGTGTTTGAGCTTTTGATTTTGCCATTTGATAAGGGATTTTCCTTTTTGAATTTTCCTTGGAGTTCAGTATGTTTGTGATTTTACTTTTTGGTATTTGCAGTATGATCTCAACTCGATCATATCTGTTCGTACGCATGTGTCCGTTGCCATTCAGATTTCGTATAACCCTTTTGGAGAAACATTTTCCTTGTATAGCTGATTAACCTGCTACCTTGTTATGACACCTAAGTACGTTGATGACACATATGCAATATCGTGTTTACATGTCGTTAGTTGCCTTATTTCATATCAATTTATTTTTGTCATTTGTTTAAAAGAGATCATTGATATTCTTTATTAAATTAAATAAAATGTTCCTACTAAGGCGTTTACAAGCTTTACATACAGACACGCGAATGATTATTGATGCAATGTTTGTTGAAAACGAATGTTAGAGAGCATAATAAAAAGGGTCGTATAGTTAAAAAGTCTCCAGATACAGATTCTATGTGTGGATTTTTGCCCGTCATTAAAGTTAACCCTTGAGGAAAATGTAACTGTCAGCAGACCATTTGTTGCAAGGCTCTATAACCTTAAACTTATGGTAAGGAAAGCTAAACAGAAGGATGCTAGCTCGTTTAAACTCCCCCATGCAAATCAGCTTCCGTGCAACATATCTCAGGAGATTCGCTGCAGACCAGTTTTTGGACTTCTTAATACATAGCACAGCAACAACAACAGTCTCCTTTATACTTCGGCTGGGGGGAAACACCTATTTTTTTTACATTTTGCTTAACAGTTGTATTGCTATGATTCTAATGTTGTTGTTAAATCATTGCCATGTGAATTAAAAAAATATTAACGCCTATTTCATATATAAAGAAAAACGTCCGTTGTAAACGTATCTAAATTAAGACGATTGAAGTTTATCGATATTCAAATCTCGTAAATCGATTAAGAATAGTCAATTTGAGGTAAAAAAATCAAAACTGAGTGAATCACATGATCTCTAAAAGGAGCAAGACTGGGTGCGTCGTCAGGGTAAACGTATCCTGCTATTTTATACATCATCCGTCGTGAAAATGCACACTCAGTCAAAATGCTAATATCGAGAATCGGACACAATTGGTAAAATTACAGACCAGACCACTTAACCAGTATCTAAAGATCTAAGGCTGCGTAAATATGACGCTAGTGAGTTGAGACACCTACATATTGTATCGGTCAACACATTTGTGATGCTGACCGTAAAACGTATGCAGTGTCGATTAAAGTCGTTTTCCCCCATAACTCTGTTGGACCTTTTTATGTGTAAGGAGCCCATCCATGTCAATGAAGTACGTATAGTGTGAACATACGCAAAACTGCTTTTGTTTTACAACTAAACAATAGGTAAAACATGCAAGTGTCCACCTTCGCATCCGTTACCAATGATTTTTGCTTTAGGTTATAAACCGATCTGTCGACTTTACAAGTAAACGATATATATTTGTCTTTAACCTCATACTAATAAACCAAGAGATCAATCATTTGTATTTATTTTTTACTTTCTTTGTACTTTATCGGGAAAGTGTATATGCAAGTATGGTTTCTCATACTGTATGTATTTTTTTTTAACTTTTTTTGTTGACGTATTAGTCAGATTCATTTATATACTTGTTTGAATTGTTAAATCAGCTGTGTTTTAATGTCTGTGATGTATGTTTACAAAGTTTTGACTACTGGATCCCGATTATTGTCACGTTTATCAATTATGTTCGACCACCCAATGCGGTCAATATAATGGAACCGTACACACCTTTCATTAAAGTGCGAGCTTTAGCTAGCTATAAAACCAGGTTTAACCCATCATTTTCTTCAGAAAAGGCCCCTACTAAGTCAGGAATAAGACAGCTGTTTGTCTTTCGTTCCGATGGTTTTGAAATTTTTCTGCATCCCTTTGCAAAAGCTTGTACATGGACTTCGTATCAAAACCGAATAAAGATGAATTTGTGTCGCAATCAAGGCATGTGTAGCTGGCAGTAGATTACAGATTGAGGGTTCAAAGTAAGACAACAAAAACACCAAACTCCAAAAAAACTAAAAACGGAAAGTCCCTTATCAAATGGCAAAATAAAAAGCTCAAACACATCAAATGAATGGAAAACAACTGTCACATTCCCGACCTGGCACATGCAATTTCATCATGCAGAAAACGGTGGATCAAACCTGGTTTTATAGCTAGCTAAACTTCTCACTTGTATGACAGTCGCATATAATTCCATCATATTGACAACAATGTGTGAACAAAACAAACAGACATAATAGGAAACAATGTCAAAAATAGGGGTACAGCAGGCAACATTGTGCTATAATCTTTATCACTATGAAAACAAAACAATATGTCAACAAAGAAAAACAAAATGGCATTTAGACAAATCGAGAAAGACAAGAATACAAAAAATGACCTTAGCACAACTACACAATGGCGGGACGCACAAGCACCGAACCACGACAAAAGAACACCACCAAAAATGGACCAACCAACAAAGGTTAAAAATACACAATGACAAACAAAAGAACACTATAACACGTAACTAAAATGACAAACACCGTCAGCACTTAGAATCTACACCCAAAGACCATCATGCATTATCCGTGAAGCCGACACGGAATATTTATGAACAAGGTCTTGGTATCTTCCGATGAACGTTTTTTTCTAGAAAAGGACGAGACGTTCTTTGACATAACCCTGGTTCATCAACTTTCTGCTCAGACACTGGTGACGTTTTATAAAGTCTGAGTAGCAGCTGCAAGCTCTCGAATACCGAATGAGTTGGGAAATGTATATCCCATATGCAGGTGAAGTTCGTATATTGCTACTAAGGTGGGGGAAATTGATAATTAAACTCGTTTGTCATAGATTCTCGTACTAAGATGACCGCTTATGCCAAAATCGAGGTAAAGGTCTGAAAAATTAGGCGGAGGAAGCCGTGTCTGTTGTTTCTTCAATTTCTAGTTCTGGAGGATATATTAATGGAACCCAATCAGAAAAGTTTGGATTGTTAATGGAAAAAAACATCATCATTATATCTGAATGTGAAATTAAGTGATCTGGCTTCTTTGTTCTTCTTGTATTTGACAAGTGTCTGAAGGAACTGCGACTCATATGAAAATAAGAAGAGGTCGGCAAGGAGAGGCTCAAAGTTCGTTCCCATAAAAATGCCGACAATTGGTTGAAAAAGTCTACCTCCAAATTCAACAAATGTGTTGTCCATAAGAAACTACAGCATACTAATCACTTGTTCCACTTTGTAGAATGTTTTACCTTTTTGTTCACTATTAACAAAATATGACGTATGGTATCCCAAAGTGATAAATTTATAGAGCATGCTACCATTTTTATATTGAAAAGCATTGTGTATTATTTCTTTAAGATGATTTTTCAATTTCATATTTCACAAGCGACCGGCAGATTTCACGAACTGGTGAGAAACATCTTCCGTCTTTTAAATTTGAAAACTCTTATGTATTTGCAAGTTTAGAAAAATAGTAAACACAGAGCACTAACACACCAGTATCAAAGTATTCGAGTTAATCATCGAGCATCTGATCTACTGTATATGGAGCATAAGTTCCAGGTTCAACAAGTAAGTTATAAAGTCTAGCTGATGCCCATAACACACCACCTGTTGCTATAAATCAGGAAAGTCCATGAAATTCTTCGAATCTTATGATTTTGGATTGACCAACGTCTGGCATATATAAAAATAGGAAGATGTGGTATAATTGTCAACGAGACAACTCTCCACAAGAGGCCAAATGACACAAAACTTAACAACTATAGGTCACCGTACGTCCTTCAACAATGAGAAAACCCATATTGCATATACCATTTCACTTGTTAAACAGCATACAAATGCTGGTAAAACGTTGCACAGCATATTGTTGATAAACACGTTTTGACGTATCCAAACATTATTTCATAGTTATAAATACTGTTGCCATGTCGTTAGGTTTAGCATCTATGACCGGAGCATAGGCTACAAACGTGTATTCAGATTTAACCTCTGATAGCCTTTTGTAAAAGCCGGTCCAAAATGGGACAGTTTTTCAGTATTTTCTGCAGAAAAGGAAATTGGATCTAAGTTTTGTGTTGAAAGAAGTTAATTCCTAAAAAAGAAAGATAAAGTACGAATACCACACATAACTGTGTTGTCCAGGTTTTTATTATAAAAAGTGGTTAATTTAGAAAATGCTAGTATTGTCGCCTATGAAAGGATAAATACTAACGTTTTCCCAATAGCATTTTGTCTTAAAAAGTAAATTTTACTTCGTATCGTTTATGATTTGAAATCCGGAATCTCATTGAAATGATGCAAGGTTAAAAATCGTCATAAAAGTGAATTTATATGAAATACTGAGCGGGAGTGGTTTCATA